TCTATCTGGCTCAGTGTACGCGTTGAGAGCTCTGAAGTCTCCGCACACACGAGACTTTCCGCCGTGCCATGCCACCACACATGGTGTAGTAATTTCCACGTCCTCATTTTGTTGGACTTTTCGCAGTATCTCTAGTTTGACGAGTTCTTTGATGTGCAGTTCGAGCTCTGCTCTATTTCGTGGACTCGCCGGATATGCTGCCTTACGCAATATAGGTGGGTATGGCTTGTCAACCGTGAGTTTGATCTCCACCTCGTACTTGGTGATTTTGCCGATCTTATTCTCTCCTAGACCAAATGTGTCGTAGAATTTTCCTACTAGCGTATGAAGCTGCTTGGTTTGCTCATTAGTTAAGTTCTCTCCTGAGATAATGCGTTCTTTCACATCTTGGCCTAAACCGAATATTGAATTTGATTTATTTTCCATAATGGCTGAAATTTGTTTCTCTTGTGTGAGTGCAAATTTCTTTCTATTATTATCATTCCCGATAGTAAAGTATTTTTCTCTGGTATGGATAATATCTATTCCATACAGCGACAGAAAATCATCTCCAAGGATAAAATACCTTGGAGTAGCGTTTTCCATTACCACGAATTCGGGGTTAATTCGCACTGATCCCTCGGTGTGTGGGAATATGAGTGGCACTTCTAAAATCCCAATGGCTCGCAATGTTTCACCACATCCTCTAAATGATGTGTTGCTCTTGGGAAGAATTTTCTTTCTCCAATCAGGTATTACTTGAGAAATGAATGCTTCTCCTACCGCGGAGCATGACACCCCACTGTCAAGGAGGCATCGCACTTCTTGACCCTCGGCTATCACTGTCGTCAGGCTATGATGTCCCATAAGGTGAGCTTTTCCTGCTGATGGCCTCGATTTCATTTGTCGGGCGTCGCTAATCTGTTTGCTAGCTAAACCTTTATGCCATTTTTGCGGAATCCCTGCTTCTGCTTGGAGATTGGATATGTCCATTTCTTCTGGAAACGCCTCAATGGCCCTGAAGATGTTTTGATCTAAATTGCGACCAATAATCCTGCGCTCGTATATGGGGGTGAATACTGTCTCAACCCCTTCGATTCTTAATTCAATGTTTGTACTGTAGTCCATTCTCCTGGAGATCCATTCTTTTAGGAGAAAGCTCCTCCCGGAGCAATGAGAGGGCTAGCGGCCCTCCTCATAGATTCATAAATACGCTAAGTATTAGATGCTGTGGCGCAAGACTTGCCTTCAGGAGAAGGTGAGGCTTGCTCAGCGATGGGTGTAACAACACTCAGCGATCCCAGTCTTAGCGTCTCACGCGCTAGACTGAAGTCCTCGAGAGAGATCTCGGGTTAGATCCTTTGAACCAAGGGTGGGAGGGGTCTAAAAGACAAGTGGGTTCAAAAAAGTAAGGATCTAGGAGTGAGATCTCTGGAGAAACGAAAGGGACGAGCAGGATGAGGTGAGAAGAGAGAAAGCTGTGAGAGTCTTCGTTCATCAGAGGGACGGAGACAGAACTCACCCCTGAACCAAGACATGGGAGAGATCAACCGTTCAGGGCGCGACGGGCTCATCACGAACGCTCTGATGAGGTGATCCTCAGGGCTCTTCTCCCTAACGCGTGTTACCAATCACGCGTTAGCCTTTTCAGTGAGATCTTCGTGACATGGACCGGGGTCGATCCTCGTGCCAGCGTCACAACCCACACATACATTCTCCTGGAGATCCATTCTTTTAGGAGAAAGCTCCTTCCGGAGCAATGAGAGGGCTAGCGGCCCTCCTCATAGATTCATAAATACGCTAAGTATTAGATGCTGTGGCGCAAGACTTGCCTTCAGGAGAAGGTGAGGCTTGCTCAGCGATGGGTGTAACAACACTCAGCGATCCCAGTCTTAGCGTCTCACGCGCTAGACTGAAGTCCTCGAGAGAGATCTCGGGTTAGATCCTTTGAACCCAATTCAGGGAACGAGGTTCAACAAGAGCCAAGACCCTGCTAAAGGGTCTCAACCCCACTCTCGAGAGGAAGCAGTTCCGCTGAATGCTCACAAAATCCATTGCTAAAAGCACAACTCATATATATTGACAACCAGGAAAAACAGCGTAGACAACAAATTCGAAGACATCAATCGAGCATATATATAGTGACACGCACCCAGTCCAATTAGCGGGTCTCACCTCGCAATTTGCCAAGGAGCGCGCGTGTCTGACGTGCTGTCTTTCCGTTATAATTCTTTACGTAACGTTTGTAACATGGTGAAGTCCACCTGCCGGAGCGCTTAAGTGCACGCTCCGAAATACCGCAATATGCCTTGAAGGAAGCACCTCCAATACGTAAACTATGGCCTGACCAGATAGTGTTTCCAGCTGGTTTGTATGCTCTCAAGAAGCTGATTACGTTGTTTCTAGGCAAAGCCCCCGAGTGGTCACTCGCTGGGAATAGTGGATCATTATCACTACCCGGTACAGTACTCAGGATGGCTAATAGCGCCGCGACGGGGTCGAGAGCGTTCGGCTGGCGAGATAGTCGTAGAAATTGAGATTCCCCGGGTCTTGCTGTTTTGGCGAGTCGAACTCGGATCGTCGCGTGAGAACAATCATCGTTAATGTATACATCCTTCCTTCGTATGAAGTTGCCTGGGTGGTCCTTATTCGCAGTCAATTCTCCTAACCGTGCCAGTCCCCAGAAGCCTACTAGCAGTAGACCCTTCATTACCAATCCAGATTTAGTATCAGATTCACGGCTGAGTTTCGAAACCAATAAGTTCACATCCATCAAGGTGAGCCCAGCTCGCACGTTCCGGGTAATCAGTTCAGTTTTACTTGCTGCTTTGAGCAAAAGCCGAATCTTGTCCAAGTCGACTGCCGGAAACGCGCGATCGTGGAGCGTATGCCACATTCGCAAACCTGTGAGGTACCGTTTGGTTGTGTTGCTAAGTACAGCGCAGTCGTCATTGTTCTCTCGACACCAAGATATGAAGAGGTAGATGGATGAAACGGTAGCTGGAAAAGGTCGGGTATTAACTGCTCGTGCCAAGTTGAGGTATTTGTTTACAGCCGCCGCATAATGCCTCTTTGTTGAAGGGGCCCATCCGTGGTTCAAGATGAACTCGCTCGTCTCGTCCAAGGTTGCGAAGACTCCTGGTGCAGTTTGTCGTAAAACGTCGGAGGGCAACATAGTTTTTCACGATTCTAGAGTGAAGTTGTCGAGTGTTTAGGGGAAGTTTGGAATAACAGGCCTTTTAGGTCGTCTGGGATGTCGATGACTATCATGTCCTCCTTGGCTTTTGAAGTGTCGAGACCCCTCGATAACTTATCGGCTTCATTATCGTTTGAAACCACCCGGACCAAGTTCAAGTCACAGTCGTTTGCTATCAGCAAATCCTGAACATACTTCCATTCCTGGTTAACCCAGTAATCCTTGGATTTTCTGTTTCTTGCTGCCCCTTCAGTTGTCGTATTATCTGTTAAACAAGAGAAACTATAACCGGCTACGTCCAACCTAGTCATCAACATCAACAGACCGAGGCGCACCGCCACGGTTTCAGCCCAAGCTATCGTACGGCGTTGTGCGCCTTCAGGGTTTGCCCAGCCAGGTAGCCATTCGAATTGCGCCCAGCACTTCCCTATTATGATACCAATACCGTAACTCGAAGACGCATCTCCGACCCACCCCACATTCCTCACGATGTGGTCTGGTACTAGTCGAGTCGGTTTTAACTCATTAAGACAACTTACCCAGTAGAGTAAATCTTCTCTAACGTCGTCGGGCATCCTTCTTACGCCTGGTGATCTCCACATCGCGACCCATTTAAAACTTTCTGCCATGTATGCCTTCAGTTGCGGTAAGATCAGAGTTAGATGACTTAATCTCCCGTTGAGCTTTTCGACTTCTTTCCGTTTGAAAACTTCTTTCTTTAAAAACTCAGCTAATTCATGCTTTCGTCTTTCCAACTTTTTAGTCGGCAACGTCACCGTCTTCAGCTCTGAGTTCCATAGGAAACCTATAAACTTCTGTTCGATAGCGAACTCCGAATACTTTGTAACATTCGTTTTAACGCCAAGTTCTTCACTTGCAGCAACTACATCCAGCATTGAAACATTTGACGATACTTCTTTAATCATTAAATTATCATCGACCCACCTGAAAACTTCTAGTAGTCCAAATTTCAACTTCATTAATGTCTTCCAACCATCAGCTGGGCCTCCGAAAGACCCACAACCGGCAACACCTCCGAAAGCTATACGTAAGTCGATGTATATCATTCCGTTAAAATCTCGTATTGCCAAATAGGGCCACTGAGAAGGATGAGTTGGGATTTGGCGATACGCCCCCTCCCAGTCGAATATGCCGAGTTGAACACCTATTTCTAATGCTCTAAAGAATTTCGCGACAATCTTAAAATCATCCCACGTCGTGGCGAAATCATCTTTGTCAACGAACGAATTTACTGAGGGTATTTCCTCGTTGAACCGAGGAAAAGACATGTCGTTTATCGGTCGAAAAGTGCCGTCTCCGTTCTCTACAGCACCGAGAGGGCTTGTCCTAAAAAACCCTAATTTTTCATATACCTCTTTCTCACTGAAAGGGCCAAACATTCTCCCCGCCAATACCTCTTTTTGTATACTTAGTTCTATTTTATCCCTTGCGTCTAGAGCCGATTTGTGATTCGGTGGTGAGAAAAATTTCATATTATTGATTTCGTGTTTAGGAATCCCTTGATGAAAACCTTCTATGAAACCTTCAAGTAAATACAAGTAGTCTGCCAGAATACCGTACTGTTTCAACTCTCTTTCCCAAACATCTACATTCATCTCACATCTGACTTTTGATGGCCATAATTTCGTTTTATCATACACATTCCACATGTTATGATCGCACTTTCTTCGTTTTAGGCTAGGACATTTTCTATAATATTTCAATCAATGGAACTTAATTAAATATCTATTGTTACAAATTCATCCGATACATAACAAAAAACAAATCGAAATTGAGAAAAAAGAAATTGACAAAATTAACCCGCTCACAATTTATCTTTCGAAGTTGATTGTTTGGGTTCTAATTTTTCATTCTTATTCTTCTGGTAATTCTCATCAAAATTATTACCCTTATAATTCGAGTTTGGATGTTGTTTTCCTTTTCCTTTCTCCTCTTTTGAATAAGGCGAAGGGGATCTTCTATTATTTCTTACGAAATTTCCTCTTTTATCATCTCTGAAATTTCTACTGTTGTTTCTTTGGAAACCAGGTACTTTTAAAAACGTATTCTCTTCCTCAGTTTCTAATTCTAAATCCGTCAAATTATGATTCTTCCCGTTCGGGTATCTGTCTCCGGTTATGGGACTGAACCTTTCTCTAGCATTTCCTTTCGCGTAAGCTGCCAATATCATCATAACGTGTCAGAAGATTTTCAGAAGAGTTTTTTAATATTTTCGTCAACTAAACGTAGGATTCTTACGATTGTCATATTTCATAATCCTTCCATCTCTTAACAAGTTAGTCCTTGCTAGCGCATCTTCGAGAAATTCTTCCCTCTTTACAGATGGATCACCAGGTGCTCCGTTAACATGATTGCAAGTGACGTCCGTTCTGACTGCGATATCATATCTGAAAGCTGTCAACCATCCGTGCCTTACGCTCAGTTGTTGAACATATTCAAAATGTTCTTCCAAACTTCAAAGAATCATATTAGCTTTTGCCAATAATTCAAACTAGTCATGAGTTACTTACTCACTCGCAAAGTCTTCGTGTTTGTAGTGTTTTCTTACGTATTTGACCATTAACTGCCTAGCTCTAGTCCACTCAGCAAATGACAAGTACCATTCACTTCTAGGTATTTGACCGATTATTCGATCTTTCTTCTTAGAAGTGTTATTGTTTGATACCATTTTGTCTAGTTCGATCCATTCTTCATTAAAAATTGTCAGAGGAAAATGGTAGTCTAACTTCTTCAGATGTGCATCCCAGAATTCGTTGAATGCTCTTAAACCTGAACGCGACGTTTCCCCTTTCTTATAATTTTTCAAAGGGTTAACTTCGTTTAGATCTTCTTTTTCCTTCTTATCGACTTTTGCATCCATTGAATTCAGGATCTTCTTTAAAAGTTCGTCATCTCCTTTTTCTAATGCCAACTTCGCTTGAGATACTAGAAAGCCTAAGAGAACAAAGTAAACATCAGTTTACCAAATTTTAATTGTATCTCAAATCATCGAATGTTGGTCTCTATTCGACTTGATAAAGGAGATTCGATTTGATAAAGGAGTATATGGGTCATTCCAGGAAACATGGGCTGTTCATATAATCATGAACTTAGCGCGCAGATTGTCGTGTTGAAAAACACTTGACTAGTTGAAATTTCAGGCATATGTGCCGTTCAAATGAGTCGTAGAAATCGTATCATGAAACGATTTTTACTTGACTAGTTGCAGAAATCGTTCTAGAAACGATTTCTACTTGACTTCGAATGATGATTCATTTATCACGTTATTACGTTTGACAAGACATCTTATAATTCTTGTAGTCTTGATGGGGTTGAAGTGGATGAAGTTCTAAAAGGAATGAAAGAAATTTGAAATTGATATGTATTGATGACACTAACTTGATTTCATGCTGTCGTTCTTAATACCTTTATGTTCAATAGTTGGTAGAGGTTCTTCTTCGGATTCATCTGAAGATAGCACTACATCTTTATTCTTCATCGTTTCTATTATCAAGTCTTCATCGTCTTCAGATAACAATTGTTCTTTGTTTAATAACTCTTCTTCATCTTCTTTCCGAATTCTCTCTTCTTCTTCCAAGGTTGTTTCGATTTGAAAATCATTTATAAATTCTTCGTCGCTATTCGGTGGTGTTGGTTCTGGTGAGAATTCCGGAACAAGACCTAAATTACGTCTACTAGATCTCATTTCTATCTTTCTAAGGGTTCAAAAAAGTAAGGATCTAGGAGTGAGATCTCTGGAGAAACGAAAGGGACGAGCAGGATGAGGTGAGAAGAGAGAAAGCTGTGAGAGTCTTCGTTCATCAGAGGGACGGAGACAGAACTCACCCCTGAACCAAGACATGGGAGAGATCAACCGTTCAGGGCGCGACGGGCTCATCACGAACGCTCTGATGAGGTGATCCTCAGGGCTCTTCTCCCTAACGCGTGTTACCAATCACGCGTTAGCCTTTTCAGTGAGATCTTCGTGACATGGACCGGGGTCGATCCTCGTGCCAGCGTCACAACCCACACAGAAATACTCATACCGTAGGCATTGATCATATCTGCGCCTAAAATAATTTCTACATTTTTAGCATCAGCGATTATCACGAAGTCAATCATCAGGATACATGGATCGTTTTCATGTACAAATTGTATTGGTAATGTAATTTCACCAATCGCAGTGAGACCTCCCGACGCACTCAGATAG